TCGTATCTCGCAAAAATGCTCTTGTCATACTCCACCGCAAATTGTTTTCAGTGTTTCCAGGCGCTCCAGGCCGTTTCACGGGGCCTCCAGGGCCTTCCAGGGCCTCCAGGGGGCTCCAGGCCTCCAGGGGCCTCCAGGGGCCTCCAGGGCCTCCGCGGCTTTGGGCTAAAGCCTCCAAAGCACAGCTTTGTTTTGAACGAAAAATGAGCCTCGAACCTTGGGTGAGGCTGAAATTTCATGCGGGATGGTCAGCTGGCCAGGCTGGGTTTGGAAGGGGGGAGTAGAGGGGGTTTTTAAAGGGATCTGAACGCCCTGAGGCTGGATGCCTCGCCGAACTTTCATGAGAACCTACTTGAACAGTAGTTGAAGACTTTCAAAGGAGAGTGGCATGACATGCTCCTGAAAGCCTGAAAGCGTTTCTGGTCATAGCTCGTTTGGGTCCCGAAATCGACAAGCAAGGTCTTGAGTTCTGCAATGGGGGGGGGGTAGAAAGTCCATATTGCGGAGCATATCCCGAAACCCCACTCTTGTTTCTAGGCCCCTGCATTAGCATCTAGTGCGTGTTAAGTTTCTGCTCAGGGATTTGCGATTAAGGTCATGCAGGTCATTGCGCTCAGGAATCAGCATGCATCCCTTGGAATCGACAGGCTTGGCTTGTGTCAGGGATATAACGAAAATCTTGGCGAGTCAGACATCCTACCTCGTAAGAGTCTGAGATATATTGCTAGTTCGACAGACCCCTGAGTCTCCAGATCTCGGTGTCCGAAGCACCAACATCTGTACCCTAGATTCCAAAACCACAGCGGATGACCGTGCCCCGAGAGTCTCCATACAATGCCGCAGGACTCTGAATTTCCCTCACCCCAAACCCTTAAACCCTTAAACCTTAAACCCTAAACCCTATGGATTCCAGGTCCTTGGTTACTTGCGGATAAATTGGGCACGGAATAGGAGGGTGGTTCGTAAACTCCATAACTAAACTCTGAACCCTACACATTGAATGCCTTAGCGGAGAAGACTAGATTTTCAACACTGGCGGAACTTACAGGCCTTAGTCCTAAAGCTTCAGCTCTAGACACCGTCAACTCCAAAACCCTAATCCCTAAACCCTATAGTCCCCCTCAAGTAGATAGAATACGGGGTATATGGGGATCTTATTATAAGATACCCAAAGCCATTTTCGATCTACTTAAGGGGGAGACTAATCCGTAGATCCCTAAACCTTGAACCCTAAGCCCTGAACACCCTGAGCTCCTCAACCCTAAACCTTAGCGCGATCTCTGGACAGGACCGGGAGGAGGAGTTTTACTTCGCCCCGACCAAGGGCAAGAAGGACAAGGCAAAGAAGAAAGGCAGCGGGCGAGGGGATTTTGGGGTTTAGCAAGCAACGGGCTTGGGGTTTTTTAGAAGTACTGGTTATGTGGTTTTAGGATTTGGGGGGTTGGGGTATTATGAAATGAGGGGATTTGTGCTTTAGATTTCGGGGCCTTGAGATTTGGGCATTCAGGACAGCCATCCGGGGGGCCGATGAGTTTGAGAACCAAAATGAGGGTCTTGGTGTTTACTTTCTAAGAGTGAGTTTCCAAGACCAGGGTTTAGGAGGCTCAAGGGTTTGGGGTTTATGGGGAAGAGGTATTAAAGGGTTTCCATTTTTTCGGTGGGAGTTGGGTATGGGGATTCAGCGTGACTCACAGGGCAGCTGTCAGCTCACGTTACACCTATGAATCCGCAACTGTCAACCAGTCAAGAACTTTGACACAGACTCCCTGCACGTACACTTCACACATGTGGCTTAAGGCATATAGGCATATAATTGTACTGTAGGGTCAGCCTCATACAGTAACAGTCCCTAAAAAGGGGAACTGTGGATATGTCAAGGTGGGGCTCAATGGAAACTGCTACTGCATGGGAGCTGATCCGAACAGTTTAGGGCCTAGGGTTTCTTGTCTCAAACCGTTATTTAGGGTTTAGGGTTTAGGGTTTAGTGTCTAGTGGAGATTCTTTTCAACCTGTGACAACATAACAAGGTTCACCCGAGACAAGGCCCTGGATCCTGGACACCAAAGCCAAAGACTAAACCTAAACCGCCATCCCTAACTGCGAGATCTAATCCTTGAGCCCTGAAACTCTCATCCCTAAACCCTAAACCCTTATCCCTAAACCCTAAACCCTTATCCCTGAAGCCTAAGCCCTGAACCCAAAACTCCCTCAAACCTCTCTCACCCCCGAGCCCAAAATCCAAAACTCCCTAATCTCTCTAAACCCAGATACCCCCATATTCCCAATATTGGAGTACTACACTTTAATACCTTTTTTGGCTCCTGGGTTCTTATTATCACAACTTATACCTAAAAAGTCTATACTTTTTTTTTGGGGGGTGAGGGGGAGTGGTGGTGTGTACTCCGAACTGGTGTATTTTTTGGGTACTGCCCCCCCTTCAGTAACAGTTGGATAATGTTTTTAATATAGTTATACATAGCCCTTAATAGGACCCCTCATATAGACGGTTACTGGGTGGGGGCAGTACCCAAACTAAACCCTAAACCCTAATCCCTAAACCCTGGTGCATCCCTGAACCCCAAAACCCTAAACCCTAAACCGTAAACTACTCCAAACTAGGGGCATTTTCCAGGTGGAGGTGAGCCAAAGGCGGCCAAGATCACCCACAACGCAGAGACCTTCCGCCTGCCTCTGGGAATAAAACAAGCCCTTAGGGTGTTTAGGGTTTAGGGTTTAGGGTCTAGGGTTTAGGGTTTAGGGTTTAGTTAGGGTGTTTAGGGATTAAAGTCTAGGGTTGAAGGATGCATGGGATTGGGGTTTGGGGAGTTTAAGGACTGACGTTTGAGGGGTTTAGGGATTCAAGCTTAGGGAGGTTGAGGAGCTTAGGGTTTAAGGAGACGGGAGTTTAGGGATTAGGGTTTAGAGTTTAGAGATTAGCGTGCTAGGGCTTATAGGGTCTGAGGGAGTTCAGGGTCTAGGGCCCACCAATAGCATTTGTTTGGAACCCTTAACACCCACCGTATGGTGACTATCTAGGCACCTAGATTGGGTTGAGAAGGCTAAGGCAAAGAGCACACTGGCTTTTTACGGCCCGGTTTAGGCTTGCATCTTAGTCTATGATAGCGTAGATGCTTCAGGGCTGGGCTTTAGGGCTTAGGACGAATTGCTGGGTTGCTGTTAAAGAACTTAAATTACGTTACTATATTGGGGAAACCATATTATTTACTATATATATACCCATTATGGTAACTTAATTTAAGTTCCTTAAGAGCAACCCAGTAGTTCGCTGGCTCCTTGACAGTCAACCTCTTTTGCTGTGCAAGAAGAGGCTTCCAGATTCCAAAATACAGGGGGCTCTGCGTAACCAGGAGCCCTATACACCTCCCCATAACCCCAAGGAGCCAAAAAATCTGAAGCCCCAAAATGATTTCAAACCTGGCAATGAAACACTGAAGCCTTCAGCCCTAAACGAAGCTCGGGATTACATATTAGGTTTAAGGCCATAACCTCCTCTGGTGATTGTACCAGAAAAGCACCTTAACGCAACTCAGCCCTAAATCCCTAAACCCTAAACGCTAAATCCCGAATTACATCCGAAACCCTCAAGAATTGTAATCCAACTCAGGTTCGACCAGCTGAAGTTGGATGCCCCACTTTCCACCTCCGAGGCTTCCCCTCCCCCTTGGAGTTTAGGTATATGGTTTGGGGTTTAGGGTTTAGGGTTTAGGGTTTAGGGTT